GCGGGAGCTCGGGGCGCGGGGCGCGGGGGCGCAGGGAGCGGGCCCGGGATGTCGCGTTACTTGCACTGACTGAGGCTTTTCCGCTTGACAGAGTGCTGGAAAAACGCCGTGAAACCCGTTCTAGATATTCGGACTAGTGGGCCTCCGATCGCTTTTATTTAAGAAACTCAAAGGCTGTAGTAGTGAAACATCTTCAGATACCCATTCTCACTTATTTCTTAATCCCCTAACACATACAGAAACTACAATTACTGTTTTGTCGTGATGTAATTACATCTAATTCCTGAAAAGAATGATCATATCTTCAGTACCATTTACTGGTGATACATATGTGCTGTTACATCTTCCTCCGTAAGCCCAGTCTTTTTAATTTCTGCTCAGAGGAGTCAGAGAGACAACCTGCAAGGAGGTCTTGACACCAGACTCAGCAGCAAACTGTGGCCCTTCTGGAGTTATTGTGCAAGTTGTCAATGAGTCACATTCTGTTCTTGGTTGTTTTCAGACCTGCACAGCTCACCACTGTGGGGAAACGCTGCTGCTTGTGGATTCAGGACTTGTGCATGGACCTGCAGAACCTGGAGCGGGCTCGGAATGACCTGCGCTTTCGGGGTGTAAAAGGCACCACTGGCACTCAAGCCAGCTTCTTGCAGCTCTTTGAGGGAGACCACAGTAAAGTAAGTCAGACAGCCCAGGTCATAGACTTACAGTCTTTGCAGTTCTCCCCTCTGGAATGCTGTTCTGTTTGGAGGAACATGGAGATTCTGGCATCAAATTCACAAGGGCACTGCAATCCCTCTGGGTCCCGCTGACAAGGCCCTGTGTGAAAGTGAGCAGAATTTGGGGAGAGGGTGCTTCCCAGCAAGTATAACATTTGTTGACAGTAAACTGAGAAAAGCAAAGGATCTTTTTGTGGTTGCTGACCTTCCTGAGTTGTTGCATTCTGAGTTCTCTTTGTTTTGGTTTTTTCTTCACCCTGAGGTTGAAGAGCTGGACAGATTAGTGACTGCAAAGGCAGGATTTAAGCGGTATGTAACAAGCATGCTCATTCACCTAAATTTGGTGTTAACAAAGTGTGACTCTTGTGGCCCAGATTCCCCTAGCTGCCAAACTGACTTCTGTGCTGCTGTTGACTTATCTCCTTTTGTGATCTTCCATTCCCAATTGCAGCTTCCCACAGGAAACTTCACCTCCTAAATAGACCACTTCTGCTTGTCTCCCTGTCAAAGCACGGCCGTCCATTTTCCCTCTGCTCTTCTCTCTTCCATCTGCATGCTGCCCAAAATTGACAGCCTGAATCCAAAGTTGTTCTCGTCAGGGCAGAATGACAACCCTCCACTTTAAGAGCTATGGCACTCCTTGCTCAAAGTCTTGCAGTACAGTTGTATCTGTCTGGAGCACTCAACTTCTGTGCTTATCTTTAGGTCTTATATGGTCACAGGGCAGACCTATAGTCGCAAGGTGGATATTGAAGTCCTGTCCGTGCTGGCCAGTCTTGGGGCATCTATACACAAGGTGAGCACACTATTTTTATACATTGGGAAAAAGGGGAAACGTTTTAGATCTTGAAGAGAAGATGCTTATGGTGCAGAACGCTGTTCTCAAGAAATATTAATTGGTGTTCCTTGTTCAGCTGTTCTCTTTGTGATCATGTAAATTCACCACGGGGTACTTGCTTAGTAATCAAACCTCAAAGATCTTAAGACCAGTGGCAAATAAAGCAAGTTTACTGAGCAGATTCTAAGATGGGTTAACAAATCCCACACCAGATATTAGTCTAATCTATGCTAAATTGATCCAGTTAGAGTAAATGTCTTTCCTAGTGATATAAGCGTTTTTAAATTTCACCGTTTGCTCCTAATTAATTGCTTTTCTGATAATGGTGTTATTGTCTCTGTCCTTGTGGATTCTTTTCATTGATTTATTTCTGTTCCCTCCCTCTTCCTCCTCTTGGGCTAAAGTGATCTGTGGTATTTTCTTCTGGTTTAGTTTTGTAGACTGGCTGGTTCAGTGAGCACACGTTATCTGTGTTTGCAAATCACTGTGTAATTTTGTTACGCATTTTCACTGTTCCCTCCTGGTATCTCTTCCATTCCCTGTGAACATTTGCCCTTCTTGGAGTCCTGTTCTATTCTAATACAGCGGACACCTTTCTTTCCTTACACTTTCTTGACTGGGATTTTTAGGCCGGGAAGTATGATTGCAGTGTCAATTTTTTTTGTCAAATTTTTCACTGTGTCCCCAATTTACTTCTTGGACACAGATGCAAACACTTCTCCAAGAACACTAACAGGAGTATATATTGGTATGTGTTAGTTTGATTCTGTTTGTTAATTTCTTGGGCTTTTTTCTAGATTTGTACTGACATTCGTCTTTTGGCCAACCTGAAGGAGATAGAGGAGCCTTTTGAGAAAGACCAGATTGGTAAGGGATGCGAGACATTTCTTGGACTGGTGTATGTATCTTTTAATTTATGTTGGTGCAGCCTTTTAAGCAAACTTAGAAATGTCACTGACAGAAATTGCTTTAAATTAACTGAGGTTTGGCATTGTTAGTATTTTGGGTCCTTTTTAAAGGAAAAAAAATGCACTTTACCCAAAGGTTTCTGGATATTAAGTAATTAAAATCAGATTTGTATTTCTGCACTTCCTGGGTTTGAGGAGAGAGCAGAAGCAGTCACGTATTCCCCACAGAGGAAGACTTGGGTCTGAGGAGTACTGTGTTTTCCATTCCTCATGAAGCTAACTGGAGCTGTAGGTTTTCAGCTTGACTCAGCATTTTGGTCTTTATAAACAGACAAATTTGGAATAATGAAACTAGGCTGGATCCTTGCCAGAAGAATACCAATGATGTCATTCTGACATTGGTAGAAGGGGAGAAGGAAACACAGAGTTTTGGCTGGAAGAAAGTTCAGGCAGTTCCATAGGATTGAATAGGCAAATTAAGCCTTTGTCGTATTTCTTATTTGAATCATTCTGCATTCTATGGTTGGTTTTGATATCCATTCAGCAGAGCAACGGGCAGCAGTATAAGTATCTGGCTTTGAAGGACAATGTTACTGAGCAGATGGGGTCTTGAACACTGCTAAAGTTGCCATGGGTAGCCTAAAGAGTCAGTGCTAAATACTGCATTAAAAATCAAGGCCATTTGTTCTTTTTATGTGGTAGCAAAATGTCTTCTCACTTTTTTTCTCCTCACAGTAAGATGTTTCTAATCTAAAGGGGAAGTGTGGTGGTGTCATTTTCTTTATTCCATTTTGTCTTTAGAAAATCATCATGTTTTGAGGCTTTAGTCAAAAACATGATTCCTGACACATTTTTCTTATCTGGGGCAGGACCTTCATCTCTTCTTCCTGAATGCGCTACTTCTATGTCCTGTTTCCATCACTCTTTCTCCTTTCACAGGTTCAAGTGCTATGCCTTACAAGAGGAATCCAATGCGTTCAGAACGCTGCTGCAGCCTGGCTCGACACCTGATGACTCTGGTGCTGGATCCCCTCCAAACAGCCTCTGTGCAGTGGTTTGAGCGAACGTTGGATGACAGTGCCAACAGGTTTGTTTAGATCGTGCAATGCAGCAATTTCAGAAGGTCTTGTGCAAGAAGGTCTTTTAATGTATTTAGAAAATACTATTTTTAAACTAAAACCACAGGTTACCACCTTGATGAAAAGCAGTCTCAATAGAATCTAGAGACTACAAACTGGTTTCCTCTCTAAGATCAGATGAAAACTGTTAAGTTTTTTTAACATCAAGATCTTCTGCAAAGTAAACCAGCAAAGAGAAGGAGGGATGCAGAAGCCATGATAATAAATAGCTTTCGTAGTCTTCCTGTTTCAACAGCATACTATAGCAGTTCTTATATTTCTCAAATTTTCCTCCCAGTCTGTTTTGAATGTGTTTTTTGACCCTGTTCCTCTTCACTTCTTAAAGAATAATTCAACATTTTATCTGTAATCCCTTAACCCCCCCAAATAATTTAAAGAAACTTATTTTCATCTCTTTGTAAAGTGTTGTTCTTTACAGAACTAGTTCAGATCCTAAAGAAAGAGCACAAACATTATTTTTTTAAGTAATATTTCATGAAAACCTGTGCAGGTCTTTTAGATATTGCTCAGCAAACTTTGCTTTGTTTTCTGATTCTTCATTATGACTATTTTGAGATGAGCAAAAGTTATCTATAATAATTTTCAAATAAATTACAGCAATTAAATTCAATGCATCCATCTTCCAGTGAGTACTAAATTCACATAAAGCTCCTATTTTCCTTTGAAATAGGTAAATACTACTTAGTTTCAAAGTAGTCTTCTGTTGCTGAATTTAATCTCCTAGAATCTTAGAAATCTTTAGATCTTTAAATTTCTAAGATACAGGATTTGTGGAACAATGAACAACAGCTGTTTTGGCTATAGACTAGAGTTCAGATTGTTAATGAGAATGTTATTTTAAAAATGTCTCCACAAACATAATGTCTGCATTAAATTTCATGAAAGCGTAGAAGATCTTTTCCCAAAAGGACTTTACTCCACAGCTGCTAGTCTTGTTAAGAAAAGAGCTGCATAGGCAGCAGAAAAAAATTTAAGAAATTGGATACTGGTTGATAAGGTGTGTTTATTTCTCAATAGCTACTGAGTGTTGAGAGATGTACTGGAATGTTTCAGATTTTATTTTCACCTCATCTAATAGAAAGGGTCATTTGTCCACTTCAAAGTCCAATTGAAAAATTCTGTGCCTTGGATTTTTCTTGTTAAAGCTATAGTGTTTTGAAAGGAGAGCAAGCCAGAGAAAATGCAATCAACCTACAAAACAGCAAAGTCCTTTTGAAGACAGTGTGATAGAATTGGGGGTCTTAAATGTAGCACAAAGTTCAAGTACTAGTATATTTTAAAAGATCGCAGGGCCAGGCACTGCTGTCACAGATGGATGATGCTGTAATTGCTGCACTGTGACACAGAGCCTTTTGTCTGATACAGCTCAGTCCCCACTATTCCTCTCCTCTTCCTCCTTTCCTTTTTGTCATTCTTTTTTGTCAGGAGCCTCCTTTGTTGCCAGGAGCTGATCTCTTGGAGGAAGCCCCCGCCAAATGCATGGATCACTTTGAAAGTTCCCACTAAGCACAGCCAGGCACAGCGTGACAGTGCAGCATGTCTTACTCCTGGAGAGTAGGATCAATAGACAGACAGGGCAAGACGGAACACAGGGGAAGATAGTCTCGTGTTTGCTAGCTCTGTAAATTGCTGCCCTCTTTCCTAGCTGTGTAATCATTGAATTATCTTGGAGCTTTCTGTGTGCGCCTTTACCCTTTCTCTTCCTCTCTCTCCCTTTTTCTACTGGCCCCTGAAAAAAAAAACCCCAAACCCTCCCATCTCCCCAGCTTGAGAGCTACTGCTATAAGATGTTCTTTAGCTTTCCTGGTTGTGACCTTTAAGCAACAAGAAGCACCTATAAGGAGAATAGTTCCAGCTCTAGGGCCACAGTAATGCTATTTACAGAATTACTTACAGAAACTAAAGAGCTAGATCTGAGGTAGGCTGGAACATGGCCTTTATTGCTAACTGGGGCCCTGGGTATGTGTGTTTCGTAGGCGCGTGTGTCTGGCTGAGGCTTTCCTCACAGCTGACATCATTCTGAGTACACTGCAGAATATCTCCGAGGGACTTGTGGTATATCCAAAGGTAAAGCAGGAGATAATGTGTGCAGTGTTGCATTCTTGGTAATGTTGCAGCTATGCCAAAGTGTATAAAAATCCTCCCACTCAAAGGATTACATTTTTATCTGTTAGTTCAAATGGTTGCTGAATTTTGCTCTCCATTCTCACTATATTCTCACTGTTTGCAGGACAGACATGAAAGGGTACTTGTTGAAGCCAAAAGGCAGTAAATTAAAAATTTCTCAAAAAGGATATTTACGACGGATCTGTAGAACACCGCCAAAAGATACTGTCAAGGAAGATCTCATACTGTCCTCTAATTTACCTACAGCTTAAAATCAAAATTCATTGTACATCTTTTCCACAGTAATGTCCTTTACAAGATATAGATTCTAAGTATTATCAGCTTCAATACCTGGATTTCCATAGCTAAGTTCAAAAAGAGAAATTATCTTTGCATCATTGTCCAGTCCTGGAGATTCAAAGGGAGAGGAGAACTTCACTGGGAGTCCCAGTTGTCTACAGAATTGCTATAATGCTGTTTCTTTTTTGTCTTTGTTTTGTTCTGTTTTGTTTAAGGTGATTGAGAGGAGGATCCGGCAGGAACTGCCATTCATGGCCACAGAGAATCTAATCATGGCGATGGTGAAAGCAGGGGGCAATCGTCAGGTACAAATGCAGTCAAAAATACCTTTGTTCACTGCCTGGCATTTCACTCCTGAGAAACAGAAGTACCTGGACTCTTGTCCTGACCATCTCACCTTTCTTTGTTCTCCACCTACTCCCACAGAGTTATTAATATTACACTGGTGCTGCAAAGCCAGGCTCTGCTCTCTGAGGAGAGAGCAGTTGTGGAGATCTGTATTTACTGTTAGGAACACTGTGTGTTTGAGCTAATCTGGCTGTCTGAGCTGGAGAAAAGGGAGACCTATTTTTATATTAGATACTAGTAGGCGTTTTCCTTTTGTAAATGTTTGAAGGAACGTGGAAGACAGGCCAGGATTCTTTAAATGGAACATGTTGGCAGTTGGCTACCTTATAAATGAAAAGAATGAATCAGTGCTGTTAACAAAAAAGCAAGTAAGACCATTCTGAACCATTCATTCATGTGTCACTCTTCCCTAATTCAGTATAGTGCTTTTTATTATTAACTTTGTTTATGGTGCTTCATTCAGTTTTCTCTGTTCAAGCAAATTGAAATTAAATGTTTTCCTTAGTAAATAAATCCAGACACAATTAGATTATATTTCCTTATCATTTAATTTCACAATTCAGTTTAAAACTGATAATCAAATTTACGTCTTAATAAACCAGCTCATTTTCACTTACCTTTAGACAGTAATTTTTCCTTCTATGATTATTTCCACATCAGGGACAGAAGTTAAACTTGCAAGATAGTAATAGCAAAAGGGTTTGCTAGAAGCTTTGAGTAGGATATGTGCTTCTAGTTCTCTGAGACACTCTGGCAACTCACCCGTGATGTTAGTCAGGAAAAATCCTTTTTCCTTTTTTTTTTTCTTTTCTTCCCCGCGTGACTCTGATGTTTGTCACTGGGTCAGTCAGTAAGCTTCCTAACTAAACTTATTAAGGGTCACATCATGTGGATAAGTTCCATTATCTTTTCAGCTGTTTTTTTCTAAAGTATCCCATACTTACCTAAAGAGTCCTCTCTATTTTGATTAGATTGAAGACTGAATTTCATTTGTGTTTGTAATTGGCTTACCTTCTTTCTGGTGCTGTTTGATTACAAATCTGTAGAGTTTAGTACACTTACAAAATCTGTTCTTGTTCACATTAGTATATTGTGTTTTCATGTGCCGGGAACTCCGGAACAGCACATTTTCAATGCTTTCCCATCTCATGGCATAGAAACTCACGTCCTTTCCCCACCACTGAACAGCTCCCTCCCCTAAACATCCAGAAGACAGATCTGTTCACCTGAGGCAGGTCAGTGCTGGAGCAAGATGGCCTTTGGATGGAGGAAACAAGGAACAGGAGATCATTTTCCTCCTAATTGAAGATAGATCAAGGATAATACACGTGAGGAGAAGATTCTTACATGGCTGTAAATGTAACCACATGACTGTATTTTAGGGCCAGCATGGCAGCATCTGATTTTGCAGGTGGTCCCTGACTACAGTTGTGGGTTCCCTTGTTTTTACAGATTGATTCCACAGGAAATAAAAGGATTAGGAAGAGTTTCAGAAAAATTGTTATAAGGGTTTTGTCAGTCTTAGTGCCATGTGAGGGTTCTTTGGGAGAGAATGTCTTAAGGCCCTCAGGTTTATAAGGGTTTTTTTCCCTTCAGTCTGTCCTGAAGTCTCACTGCTCGTTAAGTTAGACAGGTTCTTTTCCCTTTTCCAAACCTGTAGAGGTTTTACATTGTTATGCTCCCAAGGTGTTCCATACAGGGGTTGACTAGTGGTTAATAAGGAATTCCTGTCTTTCAGTTCGTAGAATTATTTTGGGAACAGCTACTGCGGTCTGTCTTTGGAAAAATCACGCAAGTACAGAATAGAACAACTGAAAAAAAAGTCCTGTAGTGACTCCTAAGAGTATTTGGGGAGTTTGAGGAAATGTAAAGGTTCCAGTGTTGTAAGTTTGTGGTATAATTGAACAGGGAACGCATGCGTCATTCAGACTGGTTTAGCCTCAAGGGGCAGATGTGGAAGGATGAAAAAAATCTTGTTTTAATATAGTGGTGTATGAGACACTGCAGTCCAAGCTGTGTCTCATTTGTATGCTGTCCAGTGCAGTACGCTTTGGTATTTCTCCCTCCCGCACAAGGTAGCAGGATGAACATGTGCCGTCAGTAGCAATGGAATGACTTTTTTCTTTTCCTCTTCTCTTCCCCCTGCTCCTACAGGATTGCCACGAGAAGATTCGTGTTCTCTCCCAGCAAGCAGCTGCTGTTGTGAAACAGGAAGGGGGTGATAATGACTTCATTGCCCGTGTCCGTGCTGATCCTTACTTCAGCCCTATCCATAAACAACTTGAAAGCCTGCTGGATCCCTCCTCCTTCACTGGACGTGCTCCTCTGAGTGTACACATGCTATGGATTGTAATGCAATGTGTTGTTTCATCCTGCGTCCTTTTGTATGTCCTTTTGTATTATGTGCCTCTGCCCATACTACTAAGGCAGACACATTTCTCTCTTTCGTTTTCCTTGGCTTTCTTGTTTTTCCTCTCTGTGGGCTTCACACTTTTGATTCTGGACATGTCAGACTGCTAAGTGTCTCTGTGAAACAGACCCCAGTGAGACAAGCAGGTCTGAATGGGGAGGAGAAGGGAACCCTTTCTTTTGCTAATTTTCTCTTTCCCATCTTTCTCCAACAGGTGGCAAAGTTTCTGAAGGAGGAAGTTCGACCAGCGCTGATTCCATACCAAAGCAAGATGGGTGGGAAGATTGAGCTGGCACTTTAGGTATATTCTGCAAAGGTGTATGGGTACAGGAAGGTAATAAAAGCCTTATTGAACCAGGTCTGTTTACTGTGTCACATTATTTTGGTTCTCTACAGTACATTTAACCCCCAGAGCTTACAGCCACCTTGATTCCAGATGGGCTTTTCATTCTTTGTCTGCTGTTTAATCAAGCCTCCATCTATTGTGTGCTGAGTTACTGAGAAATGCTTGATTGTGACAAGGTAACACCTTTCACTGGCCCCTTATAGAGCACTGCCAGCTGTTTAAAGAGCAATGCCAGGTGCTGCCTGACATTCATGTATGACTTGTTGAAGAACAGGGGTAAGGGGAACTGAGCCCACTTCCACCTTACTCATCTGCTCTTAAACTTTCTCCACAGGTGTCTCAAAAGATGATAAAAGGTTTTCCTGGCTTTCAGAGTACTGTGATTTGGGGAGCAAATAGGCCAAAAAATTAGCAATAATGAAAGGGAGAGGCCATGGAACTCCTTGGCTCATCAAATTGGTGGTCCTTCAGTGCTCCCTTGCTGGTTTAATACTGCACCTGTGGCTCCGTAGCTTCTGAAAATCATATTTACAGGCATGGATTAGGAACCAGGCATGGGTTTACTTTTCCAGGTCCTTTGCTGTAGGTGCTTGATACTGAATGGCAGATGGACTCTGGCATGTGAAAGTCATTCTCTACTGCAAGTAAGTTTTGTCTGATAAGGAAAGAAAAAAGATGATGGAATTCATTAGATGCCAGAGAAATTCAAGAGCTTTGGTCTTTTTTCTGACCCTGAATGTTCTGTTTGTAATGTCTGTGCTTTACTTGGACATTCAGTAGTGGACCAAACTCTTCTCCCTTTGATTTAAACTGGAATGATTCCCTTACCTCTTCTTCCACTGTTGTTAAATTACAGTCCATTTCTTTTGCTTGAGTGCAATAAAAAGCTCCCTCTTACCTCTGTTATTTATTCAGACTCTCAGAGATGACATGACCAGAATTACTTGATTATTTTTTCAAGTGTGATTGCTGGAGAGAATTAAGAAAAGCGGAACTAATTGAAAGAAGCTATCTGTTCTCCTTGAGGCCATTGTTTAAAGAGGATTTCAAAATACAGTATGTTTTAATGATGCTTGTCTATATTAAGTAGTCAGGGAAGCTTCAGGCTATGATCTCCCCTCATCTAGACGGCTCTGGCTTTACCTTGCCTCTAGACTATGGCATTCAAAATGTCTCAAACATTTGTGAGTTTTATAGTGTTTAAAATATTTTGCCTCCTCATGCTATTAACATTAAAGTAGCCATATGTTTGAAAAGGATAACTCTAACTGAACACTGGTAATTTTCAAACTATTACTCAAATGGATAGCCAAGAAAGCAAACAGATGTGGAAGTCCTCCTTTTTTGGTCCTCTTTCCTCCTTCTTTGTGGGACTAAAAAAAAAAACCAACCCTGTGCAGAGAAAAGGAACAGCTAACGTATCTTTTCTCATCATCCAGAAATAAATCTTTGTGCTAGGTAGAGGCTGCCAGCTGTGAGGCATTGGACTTGTTTTCCTGGAAAGTTTAAAAAGAGTAACAATGACACAGGGAAAATGTCACCCTCCTAGAAAACTGTGGCATGATACGCAAATCCTTTTGGAGATTTCTACTCCTTTTTAGAAGAGCTTCGTTTGGGACCTCGCTTTTCTTTTTTTCCAGTGGAGCTGGCAGGGGCCAGAGATGTAGTTCCCCACTCTCCTTGGTTGCTGGGAGGAGGTAAGCGAGAAGTGCTTCAGAAGCAGCTCGTTACCAATTCGCGAGGCCAGATCGCTCTTCCAGTTTATCCTGGTACGTATCCCTGTAGTCCGAGTCTGCGATAGATGCCACCAGCAAAGCGTCAGTGGGTCTGTCCTCTGCTTGGAAGGGAAATTAATCTAGACCTGAATGATGGAAAAGAACCGAGTAGCTCCTCAGCGTCTCACCAAGCGTGTACAGGTTTGTTTCCCAGTCGCTGGTG